ACATGGCCGCGGCGCCCTGCGGGGAGCGCTCTGCCGGGCTTCGGCGGTGGGAGGGTCGGGGCTCTGCGGGAGAGGAACCGGAGAGCCGGGAGTTCCTTCCCGCTGCTCTGAGATGTCAGACGGCAGCGGGTGCGGGGGGGAGACATGGCCGCGGCGGGGGGACGCGGCTCTCCCCTGCTGGGTGCCGAGGGGCCGGAGTGTTCCGTCCAAGTCTGTGGACTCGCAAAGAGACTGTTTACTCTGTAAGAGCAGCGAGCGGTGAGTTTTCTGACGGAGAACACAGCACAGTGTGAGGGGTTCTTTTGCTCCGCAGACAGCCTTGAAGAAGTTTATGATGGTTTTTTAACAGCTGCCTGCACTAACACGCAGGGAGGGTCTAGCCTCGGGGCTTGGCAGCACTGCCTCGGGGTTCTCGAATCAGAGGGTGATGCAGCTGAGTTTCACTGCTGATGAATGTTTTAACATGAAAAGTATTGGCTTTTTTTTTTTTTTTAACATTTACCTGCTGATTATTCATTCTTTATACAGTATATATGCGCACTTACTTGAAGAGTAAAATATAATTGTTTACTTTCGCTTAGTTTTTTAGCAGTATATTCCTTGTTATCTAAAAGAAAGGATTTTACACTCATTTTTGAATGTACATACCTACACTTGAAGGCCTGTTTCACTCTTCCACAAAACCCTGATTCAGTGTTCTAAGAAATGATTGAACTGTCTTCTTTTAGTAGTATTAATTATCATTTGTTATTTACACTGAATAATAATAATACACTTTTTTTTTTTTTTCCTGAAGTGTTTCAAATCTCAGTTAGGAAGGTAAAACCCAGTGTTGCTAACACTTCTCATGCTTCCCATTAAGCACAAGGCCTTAATCACTGAGTGACAATATTGTACATTTAAAATCAAGCATGGATACATACTCAGTGATGCCTAAATTGTTTTTCCTTTCCTCATTTCCGTGAATCAAATCTTACTCTCTCTGCAGTCATCCTGAGCTTCTGCTACTGGCTTCAGTCAGACTGCTTATAGTCAAGGTGTCAGCCATGTTATTCTCTCAGCACTTGCTGAGGATCAAAATAAAAACCAGCCAAGACATGGGATATTTCAGTAACAGAACAGCTTGTTAAAGACAAGGACTAAATGCAGCTGGCAGCACTGTTGAGAAGACCCAAAGACTGCAAACACTAGCTACAACTAGTTCAGTCTAAGAACTCATAAAAGAACAAGGGGATAAAATGGAGTTTGAATTTTATGTATTCCTGTTCAGTTTTATCTAGGTACGAAAACCAGATCACTATTTTGTCTGACTACTTAGAAGAATTTCCAGAAACTGATGAGCCCGTGTGGATTCTGGGAAGGCAACACCACCTAAACACAGGTATCTTCAGAATGAAAATTATCTGTCAAATCTGTAGAGCATTCACAGATTCACATGCAGCACCTCCTGATTTCCTTACGTTCTCTACGTGTCTCATGAGATAAGTTGATTTTTCTCCATCAACAAGGAACCAACTATAGGCAGTGGTATTCATCCTATAATGAAACCCGTTTATCAATGTACTTTCTACTGTAAATCATGTGAAGAGATCTTGTAGCAAAGGCTGGTCAGGTATGAGGCTGGTCACTTCTCAACATCAAATGCCCCAGAAATAGATAAATAAATAACTTCTGGGGAATGTTCAGTATTACTAATGTTATTTTCCCTTGAGGGATGTTGTTTGCACCCTGTTATTTGCAACTAAAATAATATTTCAAAATAATAATAATAATTAAAAAAAATTAGGGCATGTACTGTATTTTGATGAAAATAAATATAAGATCTAAATGTCATAGCAGAGTGCTGTATTTAAACATCATATAAAAATAAGGTTTCAGAAGTGAGTTTTGCTCCCTGGGGAGAAGCCAAGGCATCCTCCTGTGTTCCGTGTCACAGGCAGTGGCCGTCGATGCAGGCGTGGTGTTCAAGGACAGCCAAGGGTACCACACGCAGCCGTGGTCGGCTGAAGGATCCCTTGAAAAGGCCAGTCAGTCTGAGCCACAGCTCAGAGAAAATGCAGCAAATAAGATTCTTAAGTATTCTTCAGAGCCTTTGGGAGAATTCTGTAACTGCATGTGTTAAAAAAAAAAAAAAAAAAAAGAGAGAGATTTAATGAAATTTAAAATTATTAATCTTTTCTTACAATGACTTTGTATGGGGTTTGGAGGTAATGCATAATTCCATGTTGAAATTCTTGTAGAAATTCTTCACCTTTCTTAACTTGCTTTACCAGTTCTTTCCTGAGGACAGAGTTCTCCATCGTTGTTTTATTCAAGCTGGACATAGTCATTCCAAAACACCTTATAAAACTTCACTGGCTAATAATTACTTCATCCTTAATAAGTTCACTTTAATTAGCAGTCTACAAAAGCTCTCTGTTTTTAAACAGCTAAAAATATTTTAAGTATTAAGGGTCTTACGTGTAAAAGCTAACAGAGTCTTCTGTGCACTCTGTATATTGACTGTACAGGGAAAAATAGAATTTTTCTGTTTTAATAATTTCTTTCCTCTTAAAAATATTCCAGACAAATCTAAGTTATTGTTGGATATAAGTGGTCGTCTCTGGTTTACGTATAGAAGAAAGTTTTCACCTATTGGTGAGTATGTAGCAGACCCACTGCCTTTTTATAAATTAGATAGCAGGATTAGTGATGTTATCATGGACTTAAAATTGATTTTTACAGTATTAGAACATTTTGAGCATCATTTTAACTGCTTATGCAAACAAAATATTAAAGCTATTAAAAACTGTGTTTACTTGTACCTGCATATAATCAGGTCTTCATGTTTGTAGAGCAAGCAGCAAAGCTAGACCAACAGTATAGAAAAAAAAGGCCTTGCTCAGTGCCTTTGGTCCATAGGGCGGCTGTTAAGAGGCTTTTAAGTCTGACATTTTCTCTGTGGCTTCTGCACTCGTTTTAAATCCCGTATTGATTATAATGAACGTTTCTAACAGGAGGCACTGGCCCTTCCTCTGATGCCGGCTGGGGATGTATGCTGCGGTGTGGGCAGATGATGCTGGCACAAGCACTGATCTGCAGACACTTAGGAAGAGGTGAGTACTGTTGCTGAGTGAACTTTGGTGGTGTCTGGAGACTGTTTAGTTCTTGTTGTACTCTTCCATAAAAGCAGAAAACCTAAATTTATGAATTAAACTTTCTTTGATGCCCTGATAGAAGTTACTAGTGAATTATTGTTGTCTGATGGGGTGAAATCATGCCAGCCTTAAGCAGAGAAATAGAAACAGAGGGAGGACAAGCAGGGAATCCCACTGTAGTTATTTTATAAATCTTTCTGAGTCACACCCAAGTTGAGGTCAAGGGAAAACCTGCCACCCTGGGTCAGGGTTCTTACCCTTCTCTTAATTGCTTACATAGCCACCAAACGTTCGCACACAGTGACGGCGTGAATAGTGACATAGTGATAGACATCATACAAAGTACTTCACAGACCACTCACCCATCACCAGCCTGAGGTGCAAACCCCACAGCAGAACCTATTAGTGCAAGCTCTTAAGCCTGCATCAACACCTCACATCTCAAGATCAGGGGTGAGTATCATAGGTCTGGTCTGTGTGTAGCTGCTCTATCAGTTAAATTACTGCGGTGAGCTCTGTAATCCTTGTGCTGTGGTTTCTACAGCAGTGTGCTTTGTGGGTTCCCCTACTTCAATAAGTGAATCCACAGAAAGGTTTATCCACTTGAATAACTGAATCCCCAGAGTGGAGGTGCAAAGACTTAACTGACAGAGCAGGGATACAAACAAATCAGCTGAGAAGTAGAACGTGGACTTGTAGTATGCAACTACTTTGTAGTATCAGCCCTGTGTATGCGCTGCTCTGTCAGTAATGGGAGGTAAGTTACAAGCAAGAGCATACGCGACAAAGCTGTCTTCTGGATTTTGCTGTGGGAGAGGGCCAGTGTTATGTTTGGACTTTGCTTTATGGATCTTATATCATTATCTTAGAAATGCTTACATTATACTTAAAAATCTAACAAAATCTAAACAGAGCATATAGTTTTAAACAATCCTGGAAGCTCACAGACAGCAATAGCTATCAATTCTCAGCAGTGATCGCTGAGAATATAGTTGCAGTTGACATTTTTATTTTACTTTCTCAGTTTTCACAATCTAGCCTGTGACGATAAAGGACAGCTTCATAATAAGTTACAAGGTGTGGCTTCTAGGAACTCTACACAAAATGTAAATATTAGAGATGAATTGTACATTAAGTCTTTCAACATCTCATTGTATGACTTTGTACTATCTAGAAATTTGATTGGGATGATGGAAACATTATTTTTTGATGTGTATAACTTTCTTCCTGTAAGATTGGCAATGGGAAAAACACAAAAAACAACCAGAAGAATATCATAGAATCTTACGGTGCTTTCTAGATAGAAAGGATTGCTGTTATTCCATCCACCAAATGGGTAAGAACACACATGAACTTTTTTTTTCCCCACTAAAATTCTTACTGTATTGTAACTTTCTAATTTGAAATATGTTAATTAAAAATTTTATAAAGGTGATTATGAAGACAATGTGTATGTTTATATAGAAATAAAAATGCATGCAAGTGGATACAAAGTATAATGGTTCAGAAATATTATTCACTGAGACCTAAATGAATCTGTATACAAGAATCTCACTCTTGATGAAGTATGTAAGCCTTGGGCACCAGTGTGGATAGTATTAAAATGGACAGTCCTGAAGCTTATTGCTGTGATCTTTAATAAAGGACACTAACATTCGTAATTCTCATTACAGTTTAGAAACTTATTGTAAAGGAACTAGCAGACATCAAGCTTTGAAAAGAGCACAGATTGAGAAAATAGTTGTTGTTGCTAAATACAGTTTGCAGTTGCTCTAGAATGTATGACAAAATATTAGTAGGTCATGCTATTTA